ATGTTTTAGTCTCCAGACCTTTGATCATCTTAGTTGCTCTTCTCTGAATTTTTTCCAAACTCTCAACATCTTTTTTATGATATGGTGACCAAAATTGTCTGCAGTATTCCAGGTGTGGTCTTACTAGGGCTTTGCAAAGTGGTACTAATACCTTGAGTGATCTTGATTCTATCCTGTTTATACAACCCAGGATTGTATTAGCTTTTTTGGCTGCTGCTTTTTTGACTGCTGGCTCAGAGTCAAGTGATCGTCCACTAGGACTCCAAGGTCCCTCTCACAGTTACTGTTTTTAAGCCAGGTCTCACCCAATCTATACTTGTACCTTTGATTTTTCCTGTCTAAATGTAAAACTTTGCTTTTCTCCACATTGAAACTCATTTTGTTGGATAGGGCTCATTGTTCAAGTTTTGTCAATAACTTTTTGGATCCTGAGTTTGTCTTTTGGGGTGTTGGCTACTCTTGCCAGTTTGCTGTCATCTGCAAATTTGATGAGTTCCCCTTCAATTTCCTCATCTAAGTCATTGATGAAGATATTGAAGAGTACTGGGTCTAAGATGGAACCTTGTGGTACCCCACTGCTTACTTTTCTCCATATGGATGCAGTGCCATTGAGGACTAATCATTAAGTAAGGTTTGCCAGCCAGCTACAGATCCATCTGGTAGTGATGTTGTCTATTCCACCTTTTTCTAGCTTACCAAGGAGTAGGTTGTGGTCTACTTTATCAATGCCTTACTGAAATCTAAGTATACTACGTCTACAGCATTTTGCCAGTCTACTAGTTTAGTCACTTTATCAAAGAATGAAATAAGATTGGTTTGGCATGATCTGTTTTTAACAAACCCGTGCTGGCTACTAGTTATAACTTTGTTTGCTTCTAGTTGTTCACAGATCTGTTTTTTGATTATCTTTTCTAGAATCTTCCCAGGTATTGATGTTAAACTGATTGGTCTGTCGTTTCCTGGGTCCATTTTTTTCCCTTTCTTGAAGATGGGAACCACATCAACCCTTTTCCAATCCTCAGGTATTTCCCCGATGCTCCAGGAATTATGAAAGATGTGGTGCAACAGTTCTGAGATAACATCTGCCAACTCTTTCAGAACTCTGGGATATAGTCTGTCAGGTCCCGGTAATTTATATTAATCAAGTTTGGATAGGTGTTCTATTACCATTTTCCTGCTTATTTTAATTTTTGTTTCTAGCTTGTCTTTTGCAGTGGGTTTTTGGGGTATGTTGGCTAGTGTTTCTTTTTGTGTGAAGACTAATGCAAAGAATGAGTTAAGCAGCTCTGCTTTCTCCCTGTTGTCTGTTATTTCCTTGCCACCCTCTCTCTTTAGTGGACCTACAGTTTCCTTGACTTTTTTCTTGTTGTTAATATGTTGGAAGAAACTTTTTTTTAATTATCCTTGATTTCTCTAGTAAGTCTTTGTTCGTTCTGAGCCTGTGCTTTCCTGACTTCATCTTTGCATGTTCTAGCTGTCTGCTGATAATCGGCCTTAGTTATGTGCCCCTTTTTCCGTTTTTGTATTTGTCCTTTTTGTCTTTCAGTTTGTTAGAGAGATCTTTGCGCAGCCATGCTGATTTCTTCTTGAATTTCTTGTTTTTCTTTTTCAGTGGTATTGTGCTGGTCTGGGCTTTTATGATCACATTTTTCAGATTTCCCACACTTCTTGGGTTGTTTTCCCCTTTAGAATTTTCATCCATGGAAGTATTCCTGGAAAAGGAAACAGAAGCAGAGGAGAACCAGCAGAAGCTGGTTAGTGGGGTTGGGGGCACCTGATACTGACCAAGTTAGGAACAGATTGTCATGAAGAAAATCTAGCTACATGGTCATCGGGAGTTGAAAATAACTTGATGACACGTAATCTATTATTCTACAGGTGGTTCCTGCTTAGCAATCACCATTGGGACCAGCAACTCAGTCACTAAGTGGAAAATCACGTGACCATGACTGGATTCTCAGCCTTATTTTCCGTTCGGTTGTTCAATCAATTAAAATAGAGCTGGAAGGGACCTTGGAGGTCTTCTAGTCCAGCCCTCCGCTCAAGTAGGAGATCCTATACCATTTCACACAGGTGGCTGTCCAGTCTCTTCTTAAAAACCTCCAGTGTTGGAACACTCACAACTGTTAGGAAGTTTCTCCTTAATTCCAGGTTGCTTCTTTCTTTGATCAGTTTCCATCTATTGTTTCTTGTCTTGCCTTTTGGTGCTTCGGAAAATAAATTCTTTATGGCAGCCTCTGAAATGTTAAGCAAAGAGATGTGGCCACTAAGTGAAAAATCATGACTGAAAATTTTCCTGCTACCTTTCATACAGAATTGTACAGAATTAACTCTGCTTCTTGCAAACATGCGTCTTTAACTCTGGGCCCCAATGCTGCTGGCTTTCTTTACATCAATAAATGCCCAATCATTTTTTTCCACATTCAAATTGCTTAATAGTGGAAATTTGGTCCACACACCTGTCTAATAGTATTGCTGCTTTCTATTTCTCCCATTTCACTGTCACGTCTTGCATATTTTTAGCCATTATTAAACAAGCACACCAGGTACACTTAGGCACACAACCAGGAACACCTAGTAAATAGCCTCCTATAGTTTTTGAATTCATGATTGCAATGTTTCCTTTTGTAGAGGGAAAAAAGTCATTCTTCCTGAACCTCAGACAGCCACAAGTCTTAACACAAATAAATCTCACAGCTGCTTGATAAAGCAAACCATTTACATTTTAGCACTTCTCCAGTTGCACCATGTATACCTGTAGCCTTACTGTTTTTTACGACAGATTTTCATGCTTTTTCTTGGATTACTACTATCTATATCAACACAGACACACAATCTATAAAATATTCTTTTCAGCATCTCGTTTCATCCACGCTCATTCCTAAGCCTGACTAAGCAGTGGCAACCACCACTCTTAAGATCTTCGAGATTCCTTTGGTTGGGTTGGGTTCTACAATGGCTATGAGCCCAAAGCTGGAAAAGGCTTAAGAAAACATGTGACCAAACACATCATTTCCACATGTGACAAGCTGAGCTGGGAAACAGGTACTGTCGTCCAGGTTGTTCCCTCTTTAGGCTGCTTGGCCAGTCTTTGAGATGGTGCCACCTCTTTTGTGTTGAAGGAATCCAGTCATGGTTCAGTGAGTTTGGTGTGACCTCCATGGCAACCACAGGCTCCTCTCAAGTAATGTCTTGCTCAGCACATGCAGCTGATCATGTAAGTCTTAGTGTTTAGTGAAATGACTACAGGGCTGAATCACTTCCTAGTAAGAATGATGTCAATGGCCACTTGTGAGCTCTGCAATTTCTCCTCTGGCACACAATCTCTCCTAAGGCCCAGGCACGCCTCAGGAACGATGAACGGAAGGAGGAGTCTGGGGCAATCTTGTCCGGCTGCCGAAGTCTAAGTAAGCCATCAGCTGAAGAGTCCTGGTAAATGTTTGGGAAATAACCCAAGTAAGGTCTGGCAATCCTTAGCATCCCTCGCTGTCTGTCACGGATTCTCTCCAAATGTGTTCCAACTTGTGGAATTACAGTGGTAATCCTTCCCTAATTCTCCCAGTTCTTCATTATAATCAGTCACGTCATGATTTATATTTTAGATGTATACTTGTTCCTTCATTTGTACTTGAACCACGAAGTTGAAATGTTATTTTTCTTTATACATATTCATCAGTCACCATTTCCGTATTCTTCCAAATTTCACCATTTGTTGGAAAGTAACCTGGATCTAATACCAGCCTGATTATTACTTGCATACACAACCTGGTTTATACTAAATTATACTGACATATATTTCCATCTTTTCACTTATTATATTCTCACTTCCCTACATGTAATTCATTCCTTGCATTGCACAAAATCAAACCACTTTTATTCAGATCTTTTGCAAACTTTCATGTTCTCTTATGTTCCCAGGGACGCAACCTATGCAATTCTCTTTAATTCAGTCTTCACCATTAATTTATGTGGCACAGCCATAAACGGGCCCTCCTTCTCCGTTACACCAGAGGGGCTCAGAGCAACTTTATTCAGATTTATTATTATTTTTATTTATTCTTATAAACAACCCAAAGCTGCAGCTAGGCGGGCTCCTTCCTACGCCTCTTTTCCCCACAACAACCACCCTGCGAGGTCAGCCAGCCGGCTTTCCTGCCTCGCCATCTCCTGCTCTCCAGCCTGGCGCCTTCCCACTAGGCCACTCCGCCTCTTTCGCTCGGGGCTCCCCGAGGTCATCACTGCGGCTTCGACAGGTGCGAGACCCCCGCCAGGCCCACCGGCTGCCGGGCGGCTCTTCTCTGGAATTCGGGCAAGGAAGCCGCCCGCCTCTCGTGCTCGTCTGGACGCGGGTTGCCGGTTCCGCTCGCACGGATATCCCGGGAGCCCATCAGCCGCGGCCGGAGCCCCGCGAACCGCCCGGACGGAGGGCGGCGGCGGCAGCGGCGGCGGGAGAGGCGAAACAGGGCGGGGCCTCCCAGGGACCGACGCTCCGCTGCCCCGCCCACCTCCCTGCATTTCCGCGCGACGCCGGCAGGGGGAGCCCGCCACTCGCGCCCGCGAAGGAAGAGAGGGTGGGTGGGAGGGAGGAAAGGAGGCCCGCCCTCCACGGCCTCTCGCGCCCTCCGGCTTCGCCCGGCCCCGCCCCCGCGGCTCCGGCGCGCCCCTCCTCGGCAGGGCGGGACGGGGCGGGGATGGCCACGCCCCGTCCGGCGGCGGGCGAGGACCCCGCACGCCGCTCTGCCATTGGGCGCCGGGAGGGCTGTCCGCGGCGATCGCCTGCGCCGGAGAGTAGAGCGCGCGGCGTCGCCCGGCGCGCCCAGTGCGAGCGGAGGAGCCGGCGCGGGCGCTCGACGGCGGGCGNGAGAGCGCGGGGGTGCTGCGCCGCCGCCCCGCCGCCGCGATGGGAGGCCCGTGAGGCGTCGCGGAGGGTCGCTTCGACGGAGTAGGCGCCGCCGCCGCCGGAGCAGCCGCGGCGGTGGCGGTGGCGGTGCCGGCGGAGGATGGGCCGGCCCGCGGGACGCCCCGAGCGCCTGTGCCGGGGGCTGCTGGCGCTGCTGCTGGCGCTGGGCCGCCTGGCGCCGCCGCTGCTGGCCAAGAGCCTGGAGCCGGTCTCCTGGAGCGCCGCCAACGCCAAGTAGGTGCCGGGGCGGCCGGCGGGACAAAGGCGCGGGCGGGGGCTGCGCGCGGGCGGCGGCGGGCTCCGGCGGGGTCTCGCTTGGGCGGAGCCGCGGCGACTTCGGGGCCCGTTCAGTCGTCGCCCCGGCCCGGTCCCGCCCGACTCTCGCCGGGCCCGCAGCTGCCTCCCTGGCGGGTCTCCGGGAGAAAATAGCGCCGCCGAAAATAGCTCCTGCCGGCTGGCTGCCTTTCCCCGCCGACCCTCGGCCAGGAGGCTGCGAGGAGTCGTCCAGAAGAGGGTCGGCGCCTCCCTCCCTCTTTCCCTCCCGGGCGAGGAGGGCCGGCCCGGCCGGTGGCGGCGGCGGCGGCGGCGGCGGCGGCGGCCTTGGTGCTTTCGGAGCGGGGACTGAATATGGCCCCCGCGCTGGGGGGTCGCTCGGCCTGTCTCTGGGGAGAGCGGCCGGGAAACCCTAGGCGCGCCGAAATCCCTGCCCTGAAAGGGAGTTGAAGCGCCTCTCGGGTCCCGGTAGCTGCGTTTCATCGCTGCCCGGAGAGCCGCGCGGGATGCCCGCTGCCCACTTTCTGCAAGGAGAGCGCTAGTTCCCGGGGGATCCCTTCGGCGCCTCCGGTGTGAATTCTGCTCTCAGGGACCCCTCCGAAAGCTGCCTACGAGAGCCGCATTTTCCTTTCCTTTTCTAACCCGCCATTCTCGGAAAGTGTTCTGCGTTACGAACCTTGCTTCGAATTCCTTTTGCCAATTTCCGAGCCTAAAGAGTTCTGAAATGCAATTTCACGTTCTTGAACTTGTGAGAACCCTGGGAATAATATTCTCCCGCTGGGTGATGGGTACGTATTGAAGGGACGATAAATTGGCCTGGAGCAAATGCTGTCGCCGTTGCTTTAAAAGAGGTTTCATTCATATACTATATAATTCAGTGGCATTGCCACGGTTTCACGTTAGGAACTGCTTTGTGACAACACGCGATAATTTACCTGCTCTTTGTGTGTTGCATTCATAGCTGGTAGATGGGCCGTGATTGCAGGAGGGTATTTCGCTTGTAGTTTGCATTCGAGGGGAACGGTTCGGTTCTTCTTCCTTATTAAGCTGAACGTAGCGAGACCTGGTTTGGGAATGTTTTTTTCTTTAATGGGAGGAAGAGCTTTTATCAAAAGTTCGGTCTGTTCCCCTTGAGGCCGTGAGCTGCTGCCCCTTGGAATCCAGAGGGGCGCCCAGCCTCTGCCAAGAGCCTCTTCGCGCATGGCTGGCCTTAGGGCAGGGGTCCTCAACCTTGGCAACTTTTAAGACTTGTGGACTTCAACTCCCAGCAAAGCTGGTTGAGGAATTCTGGGAGTTGAAGTCCACAAGTCTTAAAAGTTGCCAAGGTTGAGGATCCCTGCGGCTTAGGAGGGCCTGCGCGGAGTCGCCTACAAACGCAGCGGCTCTCGTGGCGACCTCTTCCTCCGGCGCTTGGGGCTCTCCGGACTCCTGGGTTCCCTCCCTGAAGGGAACCTCTCGAGGAACATGCCGCTAACCGGAGAAACTCCCCTCCCTCCATGCATTTGCCTGCAGTTAGGATTCCACTTTTTAACCCCTTGGAATCGGACAAAGGGCCGCTTGCCGCGTCGTCGGGAGTGGGGAAAAAAGGGGTACAATGTTTCAAAACATTCCGAAAGCTGCGCCTCCTTTTCGCTCGCTCGGCTTGGCGAGAGCGAAGAGGCGCCTCCGGCCGCTCCTCCTGCCGGCTGATTGGCTGCGGGCGCATTCCAGCCGTTTCCCGGCTCTAATCACCGGGGGGGGGGGGGCGGCCAGTAAGCCGAGAGCCCGGAGGAGCCCGGCCGCCTTTGGGGGGGTCTTGCTCAGAGCCCTGTGTGTGCGTGTGCGTGCAGCGGGAGGGCCTTGCATTGCTAGCGTGACTTTCGCGAGATCACAAAGGAGGGGAGGACGGGGGGATCCCGTGGCAGCCGGTTCGCAGGTCCCGAAGGCTCTCAGGACCCGAATTCCCTTGCTGGATGGCCAGATGGGAGTGGGGCGGGGCGGTGTCCGGACTTGGCCGCCTCTTGCAAGCAGCGGACTTAGGGACTACCCTGCTCTTCCCTCTGGGAGCTTGGCCGCCAGGGTTCCAGCAGGGAGCTGTGGCTGTGGCTTCTTTCTTGAGTAGCCTGCCCTTCGCTTGCAGCAAAGGCCTGGTTGAAAAGGAGCCACGGCCCTCTCCCCCCCCCCCCCCGTCTCTCTTATGATGCAGAAGGGGAAGAGGAGAATCTAACCCCTCCTGGGCAGGCCTGTCTTCCAGGGCTTCCCATTCACCTTTACTTGGGGTGGAGGTCCAGCTGGGGCTCTTCTGCCCAAGACTCCCCCCCTCTAGCTCAGCCCCATGAACAAACAACACAGAAAGAAAGCTGCTTCTGATCTTCCTAGTCAAAGCCCAAAGGCAGAACTGAACAAATCTTGTGCCATTCCTGAAATGCCGGCATGGCTATGTAAACTGTACTGTACATTCTTACACTTGGGGAAGATCTTAATGGGAAATCCCCTCCCCCCCCCATGAGAGCCTTGAGTTTGTTGGAAAAGAAAAGAATGCCATGTAATCAGCACCTGCGATCTCCCTAAAAGATGGTGTTGGATGTCAGCACCTATTCTTGTTCTTTGCATTGTAAATACACACTGATGTTCTTTTGGGCCGTCTCAAGTACAGTGGATTTTTCAGCCATGGGAGCTACAAAAGAGTTATAGCTGTCAGTCATCTGGTTTGCAGCAGTACATTGTTGACTTGCTTACATTTGAATGAGGGTATCTTTTTCTTTTTTTTTATGAGGAAAGTCAAGGAAGAACTTTTGAGCAACAAGGCACAACCTTTTCTTAATTTTCCAGCCCATCTTCCATTTTTCTTTGTTATTCTGTTCATCCTCGGAGACAAATAATGTAAAGGGGACTGGGTCTATTGCTTGTCAGCCTCTGGAAGATCCGGGTGGCTAGTGGCAGCTTTCGGGGAGCTGAGCGGAGATGAAGCTTCAGAAGCAGCACCTCCAGTATCAAGGAGAAGAAAAGTAGTGAAGCTGACCACACATGCAAATGACCAGCTGTCTGTAGGATTATAAATCCTTCCATTCCCCACCATCCAGTCAGAGCTGAAGAAGCTTCTTGGATGAGAAGCAAAATGTCTTCAAAGAAAAACAAGAAAGTCCAGTTGCCTCCTGAAAAAGCATATTAGGCTGAGCACACATTAGTACGTGTCTACCTGGGTGGGCAAATCCTGTGCTGATAAGAGGGTCCATGCGTCATTGCTGCTCTCTTGGCATGCCGGTGGGTGTTTAGATGGCCATTGCGTCTGAGGAAGAACCAGTATCTTCCCAAAGCTTCTGCCAGGCTGCTATGATCAATTAGCACATCATTTCACTCCCAAGGTTGCCCAGATTTGTTCATGTCTTCAGGATAGGATCCAGGGTGATGGACTGCTTGGTTACCTGGATTTCTTTTGAGCTGTGATTTCTGAAAGTGGTTTGCAGGCTCTCTTAAGATTTTCCCTGCAGGCTGTATCTCTATCTCTCCTAGCTTCTCCGGTTAGGTAACCATCTCCAGGTCTCCAGCTTTCCAATGAAGCCTGGATATGTAGGAGAGATGGCCTCAGTGGCACTAGTGGAGGACATTGGTTGGGACTTAGATGAGGAGAATGCGTCAAGGTCCTTTTAAGAACGCTCAGCAATGTTTGAACAGGTATTCTTATGGACCCCCTTTGGTGATTAGGGCTCTATATTGCGGTAGGTCCTTGCTGAGTGGGTAATTGCAGTTGATGCTGCTTTGTCTGCCTGTGTGGTTCTCTGCTCCAGTGGTGATCCTTGCTGGGATGACAGTACGCCTGAAGGAGCTCGTCTGTGACTTGGGGGGGGGGCTTCTTCTAGAGCAGCAGACGGGGGACCAGGTTGAGGAGCCCTTGGCTCAGTTTTTGCTAGAGCTCCACTTGGGATATTCTGGGCAGTGGGAGGACCTTCCACAGTGACTCGCACTCTTGGGCCTGGTGTTTAGACTGCTCTAGACGGCTCTAGCCCGCTCTGTGTAGGACTGCCTGTGAAGATGACTTAGAGGCTGCAGTTCGTTCAGTGGCTTGTATGCTAATTGAATTGGCGTTTGCTGATAGGCGAATATATTACACGGTGCTGTGGACTGTATACTGATTGCTGGTAGGCTTCTGAATGAAATTCAAAGTGGTGTGTTTACGTGTAAAGCCTTCCGTGGCTTTGTGCCAAGGTATCTAAAAGATTCAGTTCCATGAATTCTACCTTTGGAATTGGCCCAGCCAATTTGATTTACCTGGGAGAAGCTGCTAGTTATGCTGAGCTTTAGGGAGCTGGGGGGAGGGGTTGAAACTCAGTGGCCCTCTCTTCTTGGTGGGGGCTCCACTCCTTTGGATAGGCCAAAATCATGTTAGGGCCATGATTGCGTCTTGATTGGGTTATGTATAGTTTGTTCTGTTTTTGATGGGTTTCTGGGCTTTTTCATTTTTATCATATGTTTATTGTGCATTTTTGTCTTGTAAACCCTTCGAGATTGCAATGGTCTATACATGAAATAAATCAATCTTAAGATCATAAAATATATATTTAATGTTTTTTCTTGAAAACTAAGACCGTTGACTTGTTAGAAACAAATACTCCAATTCTTTACTGAAGATTTTGTTTAATTTGCAATTATTCCCGCTATATTTTTTTAGTTCATAAAATATGTTTTAAAATTGTAAATGTTTTACATTAAAAATTATTGGAATTTTCTCTAGCTGACAGTGCATCACTAATGGAATTTATTGCCCTCCCACAGTTTTACAAATTCCCTTGTATATAGCTTTCAAGGTATGCTTAACAGTAAGTTGACTATGCGCTAAACTAATTTTCAGCCCTTAAAAATGTTTTAGAGTCACATTTTCATGAGAGAATAAATCAGATTTATTACCCAGTAACATTCACATATGTTAGGTTGCCTTTAATGTTAGGAACACAAACAATTCCCAGGATAACTAGGACATAATA